GAAAATATTTATATATATTTTTTAACACTATAAATCTTTTACACTTAAATATTTGACTTATTGATAAGCAGATCAAGAATCTACTTAAAGATTTATACTTTTCAAATATTTTTTCCAATTTAGTCCTTCAAGATCTCAATTTTGTTCAATTTAGTCCTAGTACTATATATTTTTGTTGAATTTAGTCCTCATGACGTAGTAAAATTTTTTATTTTTGTAAAAAAATTTTTGATCTTCCATGGGGCATTGCCATGTCATCACTCAATGCCACATAACATGCTACATCATCAAAATGCAACACGTCATCGTTGACAGGTAAAATTGAATGTTGTTAAGGGAAGGGACTAAATTGACACAATTTTCAAAATTAAAGAATTATATTGCTTCGATTTGTGGCACCAGGACTAAATTGAACAAAATTGAAAAATACAGAAACTGAAAGGGTCTGTTGACCAATTAAAGACTCAATAAATGCTATAATAGAAGACTTAAATGCTTGAAAAGAAGAACAAAGAGTATTGAATTCTTTTCTTAGAAATGTGTTTCAGAGTCTTTTAACCTTCATAAATGTGGTGGGAGCTTGTATTTATAGTTGTTGAAGCTTCTTGAGGTAGTTGGAGATGCATTTAATGGAAAAATAGCTATTTTTTACTTCATTCTAAGCTCCAACAGTCATATTATATTGATACATGAATGGAAGTATCGATACATGAATGGATGTATCGATACATTACTGCTTTTATTTTTGAACACTCGTGGAAATCTATCAATATATTTTGGGATGTGTCGATAGAATTTAGACATAATGCATTCTTAAAAAAACTATCGATACATTTGTCAATGTATCGATACTTTTGGGCTTGGTTGCAAGGGTTTGATCATTTTGTTAAAAATGTATCGATACATTTGTTAATGTATCAAACTCAATAAATCGATAAATTGAGTTTGACTTTACGAATTTTGACTTTTCACAAGAAAATGTATCGGTAGATTTTAATTTCTATCGATACTTGTTTAAATGTATAGATACATGATGAACATGTATTGATAGATTTGGATCAGAAAGTATTTTTCAAAGTCCTTTTTCATTGTTCTTCATTTCAAACTCATTTGAAAGTACTAAAAGATGTCTAGGCTTGATTTATCAATATTTATTATTAAATTTTGATCATTTTCTTTTGTCATTTTAATATATGGGATCAATTTAAAAGCTATAGAGCTAACACCGTGAAAAAGCAATATAAAGGTTTCACTTGATCTCATAAAATGCTATTGTGAGGGTTTCACTTAATCCCGTAAAAAGCTCATTTCACTTGGTGGATTTGAAATTCCTCAGTGTTCCAAAAGAGTAGATGTAGGGACTAGAGAAAGTCAAACCACTATAAAAATCTTGTGTCTTGCTTTTAATTTTTCTGTATTGTGATTTATTGCTTGCTTTTGCCTCTAGAAAAATATTTTACCTTCATTTGTTATTTATGCTTTGCTTGCATTTAGCTTAGGAAAATATTTTACCTTAATTTATTATTTATGCTTTGCTTACCTTTGAGTTAGGAAAATATTTTTCCTTGATTTATTATATGTTCTTTTCAATTTATTATTGAAAACTTACTTAGGAAAATCGCACACTTTAGTTTTGACACAAGATGAAACTTTTTGTTGCAAAAGTTTTGACTTTTAAACTTAGTTTTCAAAAGAATTTTTAAATACAAATTCACCCCCTCTTGGTATATTACTTTTTGAGACTTCTTCACTAACACAATTTGTATTTTTCTTTTTATTTCCTAACAAAAGAAATGCTTCAGATTGTTCCATATATACCTCTTCTTCTAAATCACCATTTAGAAATGTTATATTAACATCCATTTGTTGTACGAATAAATTATAAATAGATTTTAATGCAAACAATACACTAATGAATGTTATTTTAGCAATCAATGCATATGTTTCGAAATTAGTCTATATTCTGTTTTTGTTTAGATCATTTTGGAACTAATTTAATCTTAAAGGTTTGAATCGATCCATATATTTTGTACTTTCTTCAAAATACCCATTTACAACATATAGGCTTGAGTGAGGAAGTAAATCCACTTGCTAGCATTTATTCCTTCTTTCCGAAAGCTAGCATCTCTGGATGCTATTTCTGTTTTATAGGTTTTGGATCTTCTTTTACAAATATTCGTCCATTAGACTGAACAAACTTGTTTTTGCTATCATTCTTTTGCAGCACCTGAAGTATTCTAGCATGCCTTATTGTCTTCCAAGACATTAATTTCAAAAATTATTGCAATGCAATTCTATTTTTCTTTCCTTTCTGAAAATATACTGGACTATCCTTCTTCCATCTCATGAATATTTGAGACTTGAGAGTTTTCTTATGTTCCTCGCTATGCTGCTTTTTAATTTAGAGATAACTTGAAAGCTCTTCAAGAGATAAATCTTACTTGTATGTTTTATGGTTCTCTTGAAATCTTTCCATGATGATGATAATTTATCATTTTTCGCGGACATAATAATAGATTTATTTATATTCATTTTACAAGTTTGAGGTTGCTAAGAATCTTTTCAATTTTAGTAAATTAATCCATTACAAGTTTATTATCAACTATTTTATACTTTATAGATACCTACTTGAAACTGCATAACTCTATTGAAATATGCAACAATTAAGAATTCAAGCAATTCGTACAAATCAATTTGAAAAAAGAAAAAGAAAGCCTATCTAGTGATCCAATGAAAAACCATTTTATCATTTTCTTTATCAACATTAATCCGGTCCAAATTAACAAAATCAAATCTCTTAGTGTTCCGACAAATTGAACCACTTTTCATAATCCTTTGATCCAACAATTTGAATGTATTTTCTAACTAAGATTTCATCTTCAAAACAATTACATGAGGATTGTTCTTTATATGTAATTTGAAGAACAAAATCTCAAAAACATTTATGTGCCTTGATGCATATATTAGAACCCTATTCTAACCTTGATTACTGCCTCCACTACGTTGCTGTTGGGATTTAATGATAATACATCCAGGATTCAACAAAAGAATCCAAAAAACCACAGACATCAAATTTGAAACTTTCTCTTTAGAGTTTCAGAAAGTTTTTTTTTTAAAAAAAAGAGTTTGATTGAGAGAGAAAGACAAAGAAAGAACAATTGTCTTTTTTTCAATGCCTATTTATAGGTAAATTTATAACTATTCATCAAAAGTCACCATTATTCATAAAAAGCTTCCTTATTAATGCAAAATTAACACTCATGAATTTTGCACTAATAAAGCTATCAATTTTGAATTTTGCTCTAACAGGCACCTTTTTGATTAGTCTCCCTCCAAGTAATTTTCAAAAGCAATTTGTTTTTTACTATCAGGATAGGTATCCTCTCACATTTAACTTACAATCTAATAAAATTAATTTCTCCAATATTTAAAAAAAAACAAAATACTAAGTTATCCTAAAAACTAAATATTGTAAAAGTCAACTCGTTGATACCATCCATCATAGTTTATTGAAAAATATTTGAGCAATGGCAAAGCAGCTGGGGCCTACTACAGCCTTACCCCCAATTCCCACCAAAGGCCTTTTCCTATTTTTCGTTTTATTTGGAGTGCAATTGTGAATTTTCTTTCTTCTCTGCCCACTTGCCTTAAAAAGTGGACCTCTATTAATTGAATATCGGTTTGACCTTTGAGGAAAATATTTTGATCTCAAACTATAAAGAAATACAAAAGAACAAAAAAATAAAAATTGATAGAATGTTTACATGATCATTATCAATGTATGTAACCATAAAATTGCTTAAATGATATTAAAGTTTAATATTTCTTTTCATTGTGAACTAAACAGTATAACTCTAAACTATTAAATATATAATTATGATTATCTTAAGTGTGTTTAAAAAATTTCTTTTAAGTTATTTTTAAAAAAAATTGGAATAAGCTCTTATTCTTTTATTGTGTTTAATTATGTTTTTTATTCTTATTTTTGATTAAATAAGCTCTTATGAATAATGATTGATTAATTATCATAATCAAAATACTACTTGTCATTTTATGTCAACATCACACTAACATACAGCACTAACATACCATTGATGTGGAGGATGAAAAAAAGTCACATAATCATGCTATCATGCTAAATTAACATATCATGTTATCATCAATTATGATATATTACGTCAACACTACACGGCATATAATGACAAATGACATTTTTATTAAGTCAATCACTAATAGTAAGGGTTTATTTGATCAAAATAAAAATATAAAGGGTTATTTAGTTCAAAATAAAAGTATAAGGGTTTTATTGAATATAACAAAAGTAGGATTTATTTAAACTTTTTTAAATAGTTTAGAGATTTTTGTAGATACTATGCCTAAGTTAAGTTTACTTTGTTAATTTAAACCAATTAAAAGATTAGAATGGAAGATGATTGTTTTCCACTAAGAGGCAGAACAAGAGGAGGAGATACAATGAACATTGAAATACAAAATGCTAGGAAAGTGAAGAAGTTCCAATAGAGAGCCAAAGGGGGGCAACATCAAAAAGCACACAAAAATGCCTGTCCCTCATATTGTAAGTTGTGTGACAGTTGATTCCGTGAAGAGAAAAGTCCTTATCTGACCGAAAAATAAAATAAAAAATAAATGTATCAATTGAAAAATCTTATTCACTTTCTTCTCCTCCTCTCCACCACCAGCAGCACCTCTTTATTTTTTTCTGCCCCAAGTATTTGCACGTGAATCCCAATAATTTCTCATGCACCGGTGGGACCTTTAGCCAGCCCTTCCTCTTTTGTTCTCTTGCCAAACTCCAACTCCCAAGAATCTCTCCCCTCTTCTTCTTCTCTCTTTTCCCTCTTCCCTCACAACTTGCTCTACTTCACCTTCTCTCTTTCTCCTCTTTTTTTCTGTCTTCACTGTCCTCAGCAATGGTGAAAGCAATGGCCTTGTTACTTTTCCCATCTATGCTTTCGCTTCTTGTTTTCCCCCTCATTGTTCACAATGGGGTAGTTCACTGTTTTGGAGAGAAGAAGCTGCTTAAGCTGCAACAGTTTCAATGGAAACAGAAATGGGATGCTTCAAGTTGTTTGTCCCAGAAATCAAGTGAGTTTTTACACTTCTTTTATCAGACAAATGACAAAAGGCTCATTACACCGCCTGGCCATAGCAGATAGCAACCCCCCCAACCCATTATTTTATTTTCCACTTTGGGATCTGAATATATTTGTCTACCACACTGCTTCCTTTTTTTGCTAGGATCCATGACTGCTTTCATGCCTTGTTGGAAACAACCATTATTGCTTTCTCTTTATCTCTTTTTCTACCTCTCTTTCTCTCCTCCAGAGTGGAAAACAAACTATACTTTAAGCTTATCTTGACGTTGCCTTTCATTGGATTATGTAATCTATAATTGGCTTGTGTGTGTCTCTGCTTTAAGGGTCAATGGATACGATGCAATCCATTCCTGCCTTTTCTTACATATATACCTTTCGCTAATAGTGTTTATCCTTCTCTTCTCTCATTGGTTAATTTCGCTTTGTGCCATATTATTACACTTGCTTCAACCAAAATCAGATGTTTAATTAAGGGTTGGCATAGTATAACTCTCTCTTTTTGGCCTGACTACGCATGATATATCTTGAAAATGTGATTTTTTTCCTCTTAATTTTTGGATACTTAGGAAAGGAGAAAGGTGCAACTATATTGGAAATGAAGCACCGAGATTACTGTTATGGAGGAGGGGCCGAAGACTGGAACAAGTTGCTTCAGAAACGCTTGATTTTGGATGATCTAAGAGTTCAGTCTTTGCAAGCCCGAATAAAAAACAAGGCTTCTGGCAAAACAGAAGGTGTTTCTGATACTCGAATCCCCTTGACTTCGGGGGTAGAACTTGGAACTCTAAACTACATAGTTACAGTCGAATTAGGTGGCCGAAAAATGACAGTCATTGTTGACACTGGAAGTGATTTGACATGGGTTCAATGCCAGCCTTGCAAGTCATGTTATAACCAAAAAGAACCTCTTTTCAACCCTTCAGCATCTCCTTCCTACCAAACAGTCTCATGTAAGTCATCAACCTGCCAATCTCTTGCATTTGCTACCGGTAATACGGGAATCTGTGGGAACAACCCACCAACCTGTAACTATATCGTTAGCTATGGTGATGGATCCTACACTCGCGGAGAACTAGCTCATGATCATCTCAGTCTAGGCAAGACTCCGGTGGACAATTTTGTATTTGGCTGCGGCCGGAACAATAAAGGTCTTTTTGGTGGAGCTTCTGGTCTTATGGGTCTTGGAAGGAGTTCTATCTCTCTCGTTTCACAAACTTCTGAAATATTTGGAGGGTTTTTCTCTTATTGTCTGCCTTCAACACAAGCCGGGGCTTCAGGTTCATTAGTTTTGGGCGGCAATTCTTCAGTTTACAAGACTTCAAGCGCCATTTCTTACACTAGAATGATTCCAAATCCACAGCTATCAACTTTCTACTTTCTCAACCTTACCGGTGTCAGTGTTGGTGGGGTGACATTGCCAGATTCAACTTTTGGGAAAGGTTCAATGCTTATCGATTCTGGGACGGTTATCACTAGACTTCCCCCGTCAATTTACAAGGCTTTGAAGGCAGAGTTTATGAAACAATTTTCTGGTTTTCCTTCTGCACCAGCATTCTCAATCTTGGATACTTGCTTCAACCTTAGTTCGTATCAAGAAGTGGACGTTCCTACAATTAAAATGCAGTTTGAGGGCAATGCTGAAATGAATGTGGATGTAACTGGGGTCTTCTACTTTGTAAAGACTGATGCGTCTCAGGTTTGTTTGGCTCTTGCAAGCCTCTCCTTCGAAGATGAAATTGGCATTATTGCAAATTATCAGCAAAGAAACCAAAGGGTTATCTATGATACGAAAAAGACTAAGTTGGGATTTGCCCAGGAAACTTGCAGTTTCACATAAGCAGAACAGCTGGAATTGTTGTGCAGTTGTGGATATATTCTTCTCCGAGGCAAAGCCAAGTGATCTGCTGGCAATTTAACAATATGTATACCCTAGCATGCATCTTTTCTGTTCACAATATATACATATAACTACTCCTGAGGGAGAAGGTATAAGACATATGAAGCCACTCTGAGATTTCTTGAGTGTGCTCTGTAAACGTTAAAAAGGAACAGGGTTGGGGACCCGAAGGGGGTGTTGCATGAAATAACACTACTTCCTCAGTAGGTGCAAAGAGTTTTATATTAATCCTTACAAGATTTGTTTCAACATAAAGAAAGATTTGAAGTGTGTAAAATCAGTTGAGAAGTCTCTGATAAAGCACAAAGGCAAAAAAACTAAGAGAATGTAATAATTCCATCACCTTTTGAGCCTTCAATATAATAATACAACAGTAAACACTTACATCACTTCAATCAGAGAGAGATAGATGCACATCCTTGAGAATGGATCAGTGGTTTTACTGAAAAGATGGTCAGAAAAAATTGATACAATTCAAACAGACAGAAAGAGAGACAACCTGCTAGATACCTTGAAATATAGTCACTGTGAAATCAACTAAGTCTTGTAGAATGTCTCTGTCTGCTCCCTCTCAAAATTGTTGCCTAGTTTGCTTCCAGGGCTTGAGGCAAAGAGGCAATTCAGTAAAGTGAGAATTTCCAGAGTCTGAACCTCATATCGTCAGATGCTTTGGTAATTTATTTTTGCCTTATGAAGTGCTTAATAACAACTTCAAATAAGAATATATTCAAAGGGAACCAATGGTATTACCTCCGGAAACATAGTGGTTAGGAACAAAAAGGAGCACGTCCTTACATACTGAAGTATTCTAACATTCTAAAGATAATTGCTACAACAACCTTCCAGCAAGGAAACAGGATGTTAACTTTTGGAGATGTCCAACTAGATGATATAATCACTTGCTTCATTTCTTGTTCTCTCTTGAAATTCTGCCTTAATTCAAACCCAGGTTCTAGTCAATGCTATTGACAAGGGAGGCCATTTCAATATTCTCTTGATCAAGTATATCATTGCTCTTTTTTGTCCTCAACATCTCAGATGAAAGGATGGACAACTTGGGATCACTTCTAGGTACCAAAAATAGGAATCCAATTGGAATAAGTCTTAGCAAGCTCCTAATTAAAATGGCTATCCAAAGGTTGTCAAATTGTGTTCGTGTGACATTCAAGATGTGGAGCACTAGGCCTCCTGACCAAGCTGATGAAAGCAACCCTATATGATCAATTGACATGATTAGAGCAAAGAAAGTGCCTTCTATACCAGCTGGGCAAAGCTTGGAGCTGAGTACAAGAAAAGGCATCCATTTAATCCGCCCAATCAAACGGGAAACAGCTTCATCAATCACCACAAAAACGTAATCTGGCATACCAAGTTTCAAATTTATACGCAACACCAATACCAAATCTAGCAATCCAGACATACCATACAACAACTGGGCCCAAAAAAGTACATCACGGAAAGGATGGTTTTTCAAAAAGTTTTGGTACAGAAGGACCCCAAAGAGAGAGCCCACAGCACCAACAGAGAAAATGGATCCAACAACCTCCTGCAAAAGCATACAGATTGAAGCTTACAACCTAAAGATTTATCATAGATAAACAAAAAAAAATCAAGACGTCTAATCACGTTTGTGAAGTTTTTCATATTGAGTACTTTGGTAATTCTAGAATTCATAAATGAAATAATCATCATGAACACAATATCGACTTAAAATATGGAAGAATACATGAGTAGAAAAGTGAAAAAAAGACTAACAAGAAATGCATGTAAAGAAAACATAATAGCAGTGATAGATTTTTAAGATAAAAAGAAGATACATAATCTGGGAAAGTATCTGTGAGTTATTAAGATATATACGTATGCTTGTATCAAGCATATGTACCTAGAGAGGTGGCAAAAGCTGACACATCTCCTCTGATTAGAATAAGTTGGCCAAAAACCAACTCAAACCAACCGAAGACCACTAAAAAAATGGAAAAATTAACAACTTGAATTTGAAATAACCTAAAACAAAAATGACCAAACCCAATACCGCCTCTTGCTACTATTGGCAGAAGATGACCTGGCTTGACCTACAAAATACCCAACTCAACTACAGTTGTACTACTTTAAAAGTCAACAAAATGAAATGAAAATAACTTGAACTTAAAATGACTTGAATTTGAGCGACCCAAAACCCAGAACAATCCAAACGGCTGAAACTAGGAACAATATAAAACTACTTGAATTTGACCTCAATCCCCCAATTGCCACCTCCATAGATATAGTTTATTACTGAACCACATGGCATATAAAACGTGGAACATAAACATTTAGAAAAATGTATCATGATGCTTGCACAGAGTAAAAAGGCAATGTTCCTACCTGTGAGAAAGATGGACCCTCCTTTGCATCTGTGTACCAATAGAACATCCCTTCGTGGATATGCAAACCCAATGCAAGAGACAAGTACATGTACAAACATGGTCTCCATACATCCTGACATTTGAGTGTTGTCCACATAGTCTTGCTAGCATCTACAAACTTCTCCTTTACCTGATTTCAGTTTTCAACGCTTCAACATATGCAGGGATGAATGCAACAATTAATAACAGCACTTGAAAAGAAAATAACTTACTCTTTTGTAAGCAAAGTTGCGCACGTGGGATTCTTTCAACAAGATCCCAACCAAAACAACTAGGCTAGCTGGGATACTAAGCAACCCAAATACACCCTGCAAGAAAAGTAACACTTTCAATGACATAAGTAATATAGAAGGAACTTAGTGGCCTTATAATAGGTGCAGCTAAATACATTGTCAACCTTGAAATCATATAAGCAAACCACATCCTAACATGAAACCCTAAACCCATTGGTTGCCAAAAATAATTCTTATATTAAATTTTCTGTATTCCGTAAAATCTTCAATTGGCATAACATCTATAATATTTACAAGATTACATGCCTTGAATAATTTAGTAGCTTCCATATATGAAGCACACAGTTTAAAATTAGTTACATCTTCAAATTAGAGAAATTAAGCCATGCAGCTAGGCATTGTTTGATATCACAACAATGTGTCGAAAATTAAAATTTTATGATTTATTTATTTATTATTGGCATGGTAGGGTAGCATACTAGTGGGGGAAAAAATCATAGAAAATGTAACACATCAACTAATAGTTATATGTACAGTATATTTACAGAATCAATGTAAAATTTTCATCATACACCATAGCACCCCTTGCTAGTCTTCGCAATTCATTTCTACAATGTTCTGTCATCATCTATTACATTGGCTGCTTCCAAATTTTATAAATGATTTTAGTATCCTAAAAATATTGGAAATTCAGTCATATGTAGAGATTGATTTTACTTTTTCCATAAAATTCAAAATTTAATTTACTCCCTAAATGTTAAAAATGCAGCAAATTGTTTTGTTTATATAATTCAGCACTTATAGTATTCAGAATTAATAATTGAATGTCCAATGTTTAGTGTATCAAACAGCATCTAGTGAGGATAACATTTTGATTCAATAGGAAATTGTTTGATCATGCCTAATGAATTTCAGTTAGTTGTATCGAATATGTAAAAAGAATCAGATAATCAGCCAACACAGAATATTGCAATCAACAGAAACTAAAATACTGGGTAGAAAGCAAACCTTAGCCCCAGCTAGGTGAACAAAAAAGCCACTAAGAGAGAATCCTATCAATGCTCCAATAGAAGAGCTCAGTCCACACAAGCTCTGCATATCACCAGCAAGGGAGGGGTGACTTATGGTATGCTGTGTGACACAGGCATCAATAGCCACATCTGCAATTGCAATACCAGCACTTCCTGCCACCAGAGATAACAAGGCAAATGCAAGATGCAAACTCTTGTGGAGTGATAGAACTAGCATGGAGATAACACCAAGTACCCCTGGAATAATGGCAAATAAATAGGTCAAAAATTTGCATTGATCATATAACAAGGTAGTCAACTTTCTATCTCTGCTTCTCTTTCTTTGCCCTTATTTTTCCTTGGTGTTGTGTTTACGTCAGAACACAGGAATAAGGGAGAAGGGGTACATGATATATCATCAGAAAACAATGCAATGCAACATTATCAGTGGTGCAAATAAGCAAATAAAACACTAATTCCCAATAGCGAAAATGTCAAAGAACAGAAATATTAATCTATATTGTTGTTATGAACCGCACAGTGTGAAAGGACTTTATTTCTATTATAATCGTCTAGCAAAGGCCATCCTTACTGTAGAAGCGTCAGGATATTAGTAGAATAAGCAATGCACCTTTCCTAAACTACAATGCCTATTTTTAAAGCCATTTCCACCATATGACAGATTGCCCAACCTCCACCATCCAAATCTCTCTACAATCAACCATTATCCAAAATAAATAGTCATACAACAAATGCAGCCTAACACCCTTCAAATGTGTGCAGCATGTTCTTGCAACATATAGATCCCATCTCCTTTTGTCTTTTACTAACCTTACATCAGCACCCGGCATAGAAGACCTCTCATTTAACTTATTTTCCAATTTCAATAGAATAACATTTCCATAGGAGCCACTGGAACCCATTATGCCTTCTTTCCACAACCAAAATGCTCAGATCCTCCCTAGGTTATCCATACAAAATCAATAAGTTGATGAATCAGAGAGCCACATATCGCCAATCATTCAACAATTTACTTTCTTCTCCAGTGGCCTTGGTCTAAACCATAAAGAGCTTTCAATTGATAAGAGTCTTGACAATGAACAGAATGGAAAAAAGAATAATTAAAGCTATTTTAAGAAAAATTTTCATAAATTTTGCACTACAGAGATCATAGTCGGATTCTTGCTTTCTCTTCTTCTTTTGGAAGGTTATCACTGAAAAACCATGACTACACAACAAATAGAAGAAAAGCAGAGCAGCTTAGATTCATTTCTACGACCTACTTCCTAACAGTGGACTGCTGATTCTACACAGTGTTACTAAAATTTGACAGAAAACAATTATTACAATCACATCACTGAAGGTAAATCTCAATTAAGGATTTTAACCTGTAGATAAATTAGGGATTTATGAATACCAGGGATTTAACCTGTAAAGGACACAAGATATGAATGCACTAAGAAAATAATAAAGGGAAACCATGCGGAATAAATCACAATACTGCCTATTCATAGATGAGCATCAGAAACAAAGCAATTTTAAATTTATGAAGAAAAGATATTCAATGTTTGAAAGCAATAAAGGTGAATGCTAGTATGAATCAATTGGCATCTTGGAGGTTATAATCTGCTCCCAGTTCATAATGCATTAAAATTTCCTTGAGTAAACCAATACATAGAAAGTAAAAAAAAAAAAAAAAACTCCTGTATGATGATTCTTTAGGTGAATGACTTTTTTTCCTTCCATATTCCTCCCATTTATGGAAGGATTTGATTTTGAGAGTGGAAAACGCAAATCCATTCCTTTTCCTTCCCTATTCCTATTCCTTTTTTGCCAAACAAGTGAATATAGTTTATCCCTCCACCTTTTCCTCCATTCCCTTTCCTTCCTTCCTCTCTCCCTCTTACCAAACACACAGTTAATCAAATTCTGAAAAAAAAAAAAACAAGAGAACTGAATTTCCTTTCCTTTCTTTTCCATTTCTCCCCGTTCCCTCAATCCATACGAAATAAAGTACAAAGCAATATTTCAAAATCTGATATTTCTTGTTTGACATTTTTCCCAAAAAAACACACACACACACACACACAAATGAACAATAATCTTAAAAGAAATTTAAAAAGGATCCAAACAAAAATAACAAAAAGGAAAAAAAAAAGAGAAAAAACAAAGGTTTGGGTTATTCATAACTTACCAGCAAAAATGAAATAAGGCCGTCTCCGGTAACCAAAAATGGGGACAACATCAGTGAGGAGACCCCAAAGGGGCTTAACAATCCAAGGAAAGTGGATTACCCCAATCAAGACCTGTGCTTGAGAAGGTTGCACCTTCTGCACATCTTTCATGTAATACTGTGTGCTGACTCTACTCAATCCCACACCAAAACCCTGACTGATTCCGTACACTATCACCACTCCCAACACAAAGCTCCAATGCAGCTCTTCACCCAACATTTTCAACCATTGTATTGGTCTTAACATCATCTCTACAAAACCCTTTCTTAAGTTATTCCTTCTTGTATGGTGACCTGCTGAATCATGATGTCGTGGCTGCTTTGTCTCCTGTTCTTCTTGTTCTTCCATCGATATATAGGCCGGGTGGGTGGTTTTGTGATCTGGGTATTTTGGAAATGACTATTCAAAATTGTTTAAATCATGGAGAATAGGAAGCATCCTAAGACCCCATAATCTTGGAAAGGTGTAATGAAATGAAATAAGTGTCCACCACTTACCAAACCCATGTTGGGGACACCCCACGATCCAATAAGAATCCGTCATTGGATAGATGTTATTATGTTAAACCAGAAGGAGACCGGCATGTGTGACGGATTCAGGATTTTATATTTAAAAGATGAAAAATTAAAAATAATATTTATAAATTAAATAGTTATATTAAAATTTTAATATTTGATAATAATATAAAATAATTTAGATAAAAAATTTATATAAAATTATATAAATAAATTTTTAAAATTATTCAAAATAATCAATCTTAATAATGTATTTAAAAGAATCAATTAGTATAATCATAAATAATTTAATAATAACAATAATCTTAATTTCTAAATTAACTTAATTGTTCACAAGAATATAAGCAAAGAAAAAAGCACAATTAATTTGTTGGAAAACAATCGAGCAATCTCTAAATAAATATGTAATAATTAACCTTAAATGCTTAATCAAATTGCTTTAACAAAAAATAGCTAAGACAATAAATTCTAAATCAAAATTTTCAAAAAAAAATTATGAAATAAAAAATGTTAAAGCTGAAAATGTTAAAAATAAACCAATCTTACTAATTATCATGATTTGAAAATTGAGTTACTGACTAAAACTTTTCTACACAGAAAATGCTTACCAGCAAAAACATGTAAAAAATTAATTTTTTTATTTCTACAGTATTTGGTAAAAAAAAAAAGAAAGAGCAATTGGTGGTTGTGAGGTTTAGGCAATGTGGGTTTTGAAAATAATTCTATTACATTTGGTTTTATTTTTTTTTTTTTGGAAAATGCAATTGGTTTTGTTTTAGTCCTATTAAAATTAGTTGTCGACTAATTGTTGTGGGATATTTCACTAAACAAAATTTTATTGTAGGAGTAAAATTATTAAAATTTTTTAAAAAATAAAACTATGTTCAAAGAATTATAAAATTTTTTTAAGAGAAAAATTATAAAATTTTTAAAAATTAAAGGAAAGTTATAAAAATTTAAAAATTATTGAATGGGTGAAATTATAAAATTTGTAAAAAATACAAATAAATTATAAAAAGTTAAAAATTATTGGGGGCAAGGGCCCCCACTAGCCCCTCCCTTCCTCTATGCCTCTGCTCGTGCGTAGACCTAGATGTTATGTTGAAGGAATTGTTTCATGGTGCCTAGATAATTATTATTTTTATTTTTGAGTTTAAGGTGAAAATTATCAAACATTTTCACATTCTTGTTGCAATTACCAAAGACTTGCTAACCATTTTCGATAGTTACATGATGAAGGCCAATAATATTGCTGTTTATCATTCTTCACAATCATTTTCACCTTAGAAACAAAACACATATTTCAAGATGTTTGTGTAGACTATTCTAGCTTTATAAGCATAAAAAAAATAAATATATTGTGCTTGTACATTGTCAGTTGTTAGCATAAAAATTTTAATGAACAATATATCAAAAGAAAGTCAATTGGTATTTAAAAATTCTTTTAAAAATTAAGTGTAAAATCAAGACTTTTAACAACAAAAAATAAGTTTTCAACAATAAATTACAAACACCAAATAATAAATAAAGATAAAATATTTTTCCTAAGTCAAGTACAAGCGAAGCACAAATAATGAATTAAGGTAAAATATTTCTTAATCCAAATGCAAGCAATAATGAATCACAAGGCAGAAAAGCAAAACACAAGATCCTTATCATGGTTCGGTTTTCTCTAGTGCCTACATCCACTCTCTTGGAACATAAAGGAATTTCAAATCCACTAAGAGAAATAAGCTTTTTACGAGATTAAGCGAAACTATTATAATAACTTTTTCACGGGATCAAGTGAAATCCTTACAATAGCTTTTTCACGGGATCAAGTGAAATCCTTACAATAGCTTTTTCACAAGATTAAACGAAACCATTCAACAATGGTTTTCAATGGGCTTAACTACAAACCTACAAATAACTTTTCGAGATTAAGCTAGAATTTTCACAAGAATGTGTATACAAAAGAGTATAGCAAAAGATTTACCTCACAAGGCTTAATGCTACAAGTTTAGGCTTTGGTATGAAGAGAAGAAATAATTTTAGAAAAATTAGCTAAAGGATTTTCAAAAGAATGAGCTTTTTGGCTTTTGAATGCTAGTTGAAAGACTAAGATGATTGTTAAAAAGGAAAAATAACCTTAAGGGTCTCTCTTTTCTCTTTAGTGCTGGTCTTTTTTTGCTTCAAAATGACTCAAATAAATTTATTATAGTACCAAAGATGTTTGGAGTCATTAAACCCAAGTTTGAATCTAATTTGCCCATTGATGAAGCTTGAGGATCAACTACCACGCTTCTAGGATTGACTATGTTCTTCAAAAATCTCAAATTAGGGCTTTTATAATTGACTAAATTCATTTTATAGTCGATCCAACTCCAGAAAGTGTGCAACTTTGAAGTTCTGGACTTGAGGATCGACTACCATGGCTTGACAATTGACTGGGTCTCCTTGAAGTTGAGTTTTGCACAATGTGACTGTTCAACGATCGACTACTATTTGATCAAGATCGAATGGTTCTCCTTCTAGCTTGATTTTCCATTTTATTTTGGTCAAGGATCAACTGGCACTCAAGGAGGATTGACTACAGCTTCACAAATGTCTAAGTTTCATGTGACCATAGCTTAAAAACTAAATGCCTCCTTTAAAAGATCAACTATAGTTGTCTTGATTCATGTTTCCTTGAATGTTCTTGCCTATTCTACTATATGAGTGAGTGATGCTCTTCTAGGATTGACCAGAGCTTCGTTTCCTCAAGATTTTTTGTCATTTTGGCACTTCAATTTGACTATTTCATCCTTGTTTCTTCCTTATGATTTAAAATCAAATTAAAACATATTTGCTCTTTGTTTTCCTTGGCTAAATATAATGTAAGCTACTAGTAATTGGTAATTTTGGTTTAATAAAATAGATTGATAATTTTATCCTATTGTGAGACAAAGCATGAAAGCCCAATTAATATTAAAATTATTTGTTGATGATGGGCTTTACATGTCCTATTGGGTCATGTGGTTTGGCCGTTGTGTAGACCTTAATCTAGTAAACCTTTAATGTGGAGGCCACTAAGGTTTATTATTTATATACTTGGCTAAGTCATATCTTCACTTCTAACAAATGATTTTTTTCCCCTTGTAAGCCATCAAAAAAGGAAAAGCAAAGAGGAAGACTTAGCTTTGACCATAAGTTTTCTAGTATTCTGTAATTATAAATTGCTACCTTAACAAATCAAACAAATATTTTAGTTTAATTATATGACTCTTGGTGTTTTAATTTTCACACATGGATCTAGGCATTAAACTTATATGTAGTATCAAAGCCTCTTGTGTGAAAGTAGGACCCAAACAAATTAGGGCTTTTGTTGCTCATAATACATAGATCAATTGGGTATAAACTTTTTTTTTAACTCGTACAATAGAGATAAGAATTGGATAGTGATGTGTAGGGTTTGAACATAGAACCTAAAATCTAGTTCGTGATGATAGATCTCGGTTTTGTTGTTTTTTTAGTGTTTTAATGCATAGGTTTTGTAAAATTAATGTTTAATTAAGTTTTGGTAACTTCAATTGCATTAAAACAGCCTTAAAAACCATAAAAATCGAGAGAAAATTCAAAATAGATCTGAACAAGTTAGATATTACGCTAGTCGAGTTGGTGGAATTAAAGTTAGAACACTATCATCACTTTTTAAACATCTTTCCTTGGGGAAAAAAAATAAGGAATTCAAGGTAGCCATCCTCATTAACAGGAATTTATAGATTTTTCTAGTTGCATGAATAGAATTGCTGCAAGCTTTGCCTCTTCTACTTTCTGTCAACGTCAAAAATTACATAGAATTAAAGTTTTGGATTCATTTCACAATTGCTGAATTACCCATTTCTATTTCATTTTTCATAACTACTTGATCACTGAGTTTAAGCCATGTCTTTTGTTGGAGAGGCTTACTTATCTACTTTCTCTGAGGCCTTGTTTGTCAGATTGGGCTCTTCTGAATCCCTCCACTTTGCTACTGAAAAGCAAGTCCATGAGGAGCTTAGGAAGTGGGAAAAGATATTGAAGAATATACAAGCAGTGCTTGATGATGCAGAGGAGAAGCAAATGAACGATCGGCATGTGAAGATATGGCTAGCGGAGCTCTAAGACTTAGCTTACGATGTGGATGACATCTTGGATGAGTTCGGGACTGAAGCCTTGGGAAGCAAGTTAATGCAAGAATATCAAGTAGACAGAAGTAAGGTATGGAAGATCATTCATACCTTCATTACTATTTTCAATCCATATGCTTTCCTATTTAATTATAAGATGATGTCGAAGATAAAAGCGATTACTGTTAGATTGCAAGATTTGGTCACCCAAAAAAGTGACTTGCACTTAAGAGAGAATGATGTTGGTAGGCCTAAGAGAAAGATAGAAAGGTCATCGACTACTTTATTGGTGAATGAAGCTCATGTCTATGATAGGGAAAAAAACACAAAAGCAATAATTGATTTGCTTTTAATGAATGACAATAGTGATCGTAAAGTCATTGTGATTCCTATTGTTGGCATTGGAAGGATTGGTAAGACTACCCTTGCTCAACTAGTTTACAATGATGATAGTATAAAGATCATTTCGACATCAAAGTATGGGTGTGTGTTTCGGAATATTTTGATGTGAACAGAATAACGAAAACAATTTTGCAATCAACAACTTCTAAGTTGCGCATCGAGGTAAATGATCTATATTTGCTGCAAGTCGAATTGAAGGAGAAGCTATATGAAAAGAATTTTCTGCTTGTTTTGGATGATATTTGGAATGGAAGCTACCATGATTGGAACATTCTACAGTTTCCTCTTGAAGTAGGGGGTCTAAGAAGCAAAATTATAGTTCCAGATTACTCTTTAAAATAATTGCCAAATGATGATTGTTTCTCCATTTTAACTCAACATTC